TTCCGCCTCAGCGACCCTGCATAGGGTTTCTGAGGCTGTAAATCTTTACGGGAACAGAAAGCCTCATCTTTCTCCAATGGAACAGCTGGTAGTTTTGAACTGTTAACCGTGAGATTAGCAGCCCAATTCGTAACCACTACACTACCAGAGCTCCTACATGCAGGAAATAGTGCTGGCATTTTATAAGTGCCACACAAGTATTGGAGTTCTGGTGTGGTGCTGTGGGATAAAGCACTAGACCGCAAGGTCGGTTTGAACTACAAAATCAGTGGTTCAAATTCACCAGCTACTCCTCAGAAACCCTATACAGGGTTGCTATGAGTCAGAATTGACTGCATACCACTCAACAACAACAAGTATTATAAATTATAGATGGAACGTTTGCTCTTATTAATAGGACAAGTTCCATTGAGGAGGTCAGAGATATTTGCTTCCAAGACAACAAGGAGCTACCAGCAGTATTAATTACTTAGACAACCTGAGTGACACAAATAGTTAAGCTCTTGACAACTAGCTGAAAGATTGGCAGTTTGAGTTCATCCAGAGGCACCTCAGAAGATAGGCCTGCTGATCTGTTTCTGAAAGGCACAACCTTGAAAACCCGATGACACAGTTTTACTCTGATACACTTGGGGTAGCCATGAGGTGGAATTGACTTGACAGCAACTAACAGCAAAAACAATTAGTCACTTCAAACTAAAATTTGTCAGCCCCAGAAGTGTTATAAATGCTGGTTCATTTGTCACCTTCTCCCCTTTAAATAATGAAGAAATGTGGTGCTATTAAACATCAAAAAATAGTAAAAAGATTAAAAGTAAGGCAATAGAGACCTCAAGGATTTTATTTTTAAAATACTTATCTACTATTTTAAAAAGGCAACCAATTTATGGATTCAGGGACAATATGAACTTTTGCTGCTGTTGTTGTTAAGTGTTGTTGAATTGCTTCTGACTCATAGAGACTCTGTATAGGGTTTCCATGGAGAAGTTTTTGGGTTTGAACAGCTGACCTCGTGGGTAGCAGTCCAGTGTTTATCCTACAGTGCCGTACCCGGACTCCATATGAACACTATCGCTTTTAAAACACTTCCAAATGTTTAAAATTATTGGCCCTTTTCAACACAGTAATAATCTGTGTTTCGTGTAATGATACTTTGATATCAAATTTTCAAATTCCCTAAAAGCTGAGGCTTGTCAAAAGTGCATTGATAGAACAATACAAATATTCTGCATTCTGCCTGCTCATCTTTAAAACAATAGCATTTCTTGAAATTGCTCTTACTACAGTGATTGCAAGTTCATGATGTATTTGGTGGTGATGGTGTGCCATGGAGCTGGTTCTGACTCAACGACCCTGTATAGGGTTTTCGAGACAGTAAATCTTTACAGGAACAGACAGGAAGCTTCATTTTTCTTCAGTGGAACTGCTGGTAGTTTCGAACTGCTGACCATAAGATTAGCAGCCCGACTCATAACCACTACACTACCAGAGCTGAATAATAGAGCTTTAAGAAAGCAGAATATGTCCTAGTATGTAGTAAAAATGAAAACATTAAAAAATATTCAATCATTTCAAATCCCCATGAATCATTTCCTAAATCAGCTTAGCTTTGGTTGACAGATATGGCATTTGAATTATAGTTCCATTCTTTGTTCACTAAGAAAGATTAAAAGACACTGGACATTTCAGATTCTAAATAAATTCAATTTAATGTAGCTGAAATGTTTAATATCAAAATAAACACATGTTGATATTAGAGAAAGTCATTGTGTCTAAGAGTCAGAACTGCTCGATTTAATTATGAAGTTTTTCAGAAGAAACTATTGAGTCATAACCCTATTTGCATCAGAAAAGCATATTAAGAATGAAGTCCAATAGCAATTGGCTATTCACACGCCTTTCCCATGAACCTCTTCTTACCTTCAATAAACACCTCGGCAGACGTTGTGTCTGAGCCGCTGGGGTTCGTAGCCAGACAAGTGTAGCGGCCTGTGTCGTCCTCAAAGGCCTCTGCTATGATCAAAGTATGGAGATCCCCACCCTCACAGTTGATTTGAATATCAGGAGTGTTGTGTAGCTCTTTTCCCTCAGAGAACCATCTGCAGCCAAAGAGGTGAAAGGAAACAAGAGAAAGAAAGGGGATGTTTAAAACAAGAAAGCAGAGGTGAAAGACTAGATGTTATGTAACAAGTTGTTTGGTTGATTAAAAAAAAAAAAAATGTGTCAATGTAACCAATGAAAGCTATACATTTTAGACCATGAAATTAAGGACTAGACAATTCCCATAGGTTTTCTTTGTAAAACATCTTGTACATTTTATCAACTTTGAAATAAAGGATAGTGTCAAACTTGGAAAGGCTGTTTCAGTTACAGAATAAAAGAAACAGAAATTCAAAATATCTAATAAAATGAGAATTAATGCTTTCTTTAGTTATTACACTTCTATCAGTTTTACTTATCTAAACAAAAGCAGAAAAGTAACATAAGCATTATGCTCAAAGTATCTGATGAATTAGGGAAAATTTCCATCTATATTACAGGATGGAAATATTCATAGGCAGCAATATTTTGTTGACCCTAAGACTTCTGATCAGGTGAACAGCCACAGATTTAATGCCTTCCACATTTCTGATAATAACAAAACTTTCTAGTTGACCACATGACCTCAGAAACATTGGAGTGATGCAGCGGCTGTTCTGTAATTCATTCTTCCTAGTGGTGGTCAGCAAGGAGCTCTGGTAGCGTAGTGGTTACGAATCGGGCTGTGAACCTCAAGGTCGGCAGTTCGAAACTACCAGCGGTTCCGCGGGAGAAAGATGAGGCAGGCTGCTCCCGTAAAGATTTACAGCCTCGGAAACCCTGTGTAGGGTCGCTATGAGTCGGAACCGACTCCACGGCACATAACAACAACAACAACAAGTGGTGGTCAGCAACTTTGCTTACCCAACCACCAGGACCTTGGTCTGGAAGGCTACAAGCTGCCAAACTGCTTTAAGATAGTCTCTCTCACACTATGTACCCTACATGCTTCCAGCATGTCAAATTCTCAACATTTACATTTTACAAAGTTCTAAAAAATGCAAAGTTGCCCAGAAAACATGTCAAGCCTGATGTATTTAAAAAGAAATGTATAGAAATGTCCCACTTAACAAAACTAAAAGGAATGAAGTCTCTGGGACATTGAGTTTTTAAGTAGCATTTCAAGGACTGCAAACCATTAGCTCCTAGAAAACTCTACACAGGGTCACTATGAGTGAAAACCGACTTGAAAACACTTCTTAACAACAACACTAGCATTCTTCCATAAAGCACTGAACTGCGAACTCCAAGGTCTGCAGTTCAAGCTTGCCAGTCGCTCCATGGAAGAAAGATGAGACTTTCAGCTACCATGAAGTTTTAAAAGCCTGGGAAACTCTACACAGGGTCACTATGAGTTGCACTTGACTCAACAACACTTTACAACAACAACAGCAGCAAAAATAATCTTCCATAAAATTATTTGGACTCGGCATCCTCTTGTGAAAATAAAGTGCTAAAGATTGAATCCACAACTTGTTCTGCATTTTGTTGTTGTGAAGTGCCAACGAGTTGGTTCTGACTCCTAGTGACTCTGTATAGGGTTTCCATGGAGCAGCTGGTGGGTTTGGACTACTGACCTTGTGGTTTGCAGTCCAGTACTGATCCTATGTTTTGCATTTTAGGATAGCATAATATAGATATTTGTCTATATTCAATTTGAAAATAAAAGTAATAAAGCAAATCAGTTTGTTGTATTCAGAGTATTAATACCAGAAACAATGTTAAAAATTGAATATGGGAGACTTGCAAAAAAAACAAAAAAAAAAAAACAAACCACAAACAAAACAGGTACAACTTTGGAAACTGTAGGATGTACAATGATCAGCTCACTGAGAATGCCATGCAGTGCCACGCATATTATGTTTGGAAGAGAACCACAGTATTTCTTGATCATGGAGCATTTTGTGATATTGTTTCCATTAAGTTGTGGAGAAGTTTCCAATTTAGAGTCATCTCTCAAGCCCCTTTTAGGTTCTTTCCACAGTTCTAGTCTAGTACCCTCCCTCATGTATACCAGTTAGGACTTTAGTCTTTGTACTGACCTGTCTTCAGCTATCAATCTCTTCTATAATGCTGTCTTTCCTGTGTACATCAGGCCCTAAACCCTGATCTGACATCAAGGCCCTGCTTGTAAATTGGCCCTGACTTCATTTTCTATTATTTTAAAATATTAATCCTCTGCTGCTGTCAAATATGTGTATGTATTTATTGTTCTCTATTCAGTTTTCATGCATTTTCTGCCTTCTTTCCTTTCCCTACACTTTGTCCCCTTTGAAATTCTCTCCTTACTTTCTTCATTGATCCTATCTAGGGACCATTCTTGCTTAAAACCAAGCTAAAGACTACTTTAACAGATTAAATTCAGCTGAACACATACCTCCTATGTGAAAGGTATTGCATTACATACTACAGGAGACTTAAAGAATTTTGCCTAGTGAATTCTGAAACTAGTTGAGGTGTTTGATCTGCCTGCATTGTCAATTAAAGTGTTATAAAGTTCCATAAAGGAGATATAAACCAATTCCTAGGGGAAACTAAAACAGGAAAAACACTATTGAAACTTAAAAGACAGAAAGATTAATTCGTTTTGGTCAGATGTACTTCACTGAGAAGCCTTCGCCACATCCCTGCTGCCCCAAGTAGGGGTAACATCCTGTTTTCTGATTTATCAGTCAGCAAACTTCAGCCTGAGAACCTGCTACCTATTTTTGCACAACTGGGAACTAAGGATGATTATATATTTTTAAATATCCCTTCCCCAAAAAAATCAAAAGAAAAGTATGATTTTATGATACATGAAAATTATAGAAAGTTCAAATTTCAGTGTTCACAATTAAAGTGTTATTGTAACACAGTCATGCTCATTGTTTACATACTGTATATTGCTGCTTGTGCATTACAATGACAGCAGTTCTGTGGCCCACACAGTCTATGATAATTATTATCTGAACCATTTTAGCAGTAGTTTGCCAATTCCTCATTTAACTCCTTGCTCCTCAAAGTGTGGTCACTGACTTGTCAGCAGCAGTAGGAGCACCTGAGAGATTGTCAGAAATGCAGAATCTTGACCCAAATCTACAGACTCCTTAACCAGGTGATACATGCACACATTGAAGTTGGAGAACCACTAGTATGTTTCTGGAGCTCATTAACCTGTATCACAGAGTCCTGGCTCTCCTTGTAGGTTACTCACTTCTGTAGCATAGCAACCCTAGTTTATATACTGTGTGTCTATCATCCCTGCACATAAGGTTGAAGATACAAAAAGAACATGAGCACCAGGCATAGGTCCCTGTGCAATGGCAAAGGGACCTGGTTTGGGTTTTTTATTTTCAGTTGGGATTCCCTTAAATGAGGCCCTAGATAGCCTTTTCCAAACTCATCGAAACCAGAAGGTGCCCTAGGAAAGAGTCTAAGGATCCCATGTTGTGTTTTCCCTCAGAATACAGTTGGAGACAGCACATCCAGCACCCTCCGAGCCCTTGAACAGAAGGGGGAAAATGCATGTCTGGTGTTGGTGCTTTTTTTTGTTTCTCCCAACCTTAAACTAAAAAGTTGTTAACATTATTCATTTGACAATCACATGATCATTGTGATTCTCTTCTGCTTTTTGTTGTTGTTGTTATAGCATTATTTGAAGGCTCATGTATTTATGCTCTATTTCCTTAACTAAACAAAATGACTTCTTGATTGCCTCCTCCCCACTCTAAAATTCTTTATTTTACTTTTGTATTCACCTAGAGTGTACTGCACATAGCTGATGCCTTGAATATACTTATTATCTGCTACTCATGACTTTGGAATACAGGTCCCATGAAAAAGGTAGGGAATGGTTGTGTGGCTTAATAGATTTGGAAAATGCTACATATTCTATCTTATTCTTTGATGTTTGCAATTAACCTTTTCTTATTAAAATTCTGAAAAACCCTGCAGTGAAGAACTTTATTTAGTATTGTCTATGTTACTCAACTGGTGTGGCGCTGTGGGTTAATGAGCCAGACTGCAAAGCCATTTGAACTGCAAGGTTGCCCAAGGTCGGTGGTTCAAGCTCACCAATGGCTCCTTGGAAACCCTATACAAGGTCTCTATGGGCCCGAACTGACTTGACGGCACTTAACAACAACAACCACATTTTACTCAACTAATTTGACCCTAAGATTCTTTCACACTTAGCATTTTCCATCATCCCATGTATATGATGCAAAATACTTTTCTAGTATATTCATTCCATGTTGTCATTGTTGTTAAGTGCTGTGGAGTCGGTTCTGACTCATAGTGACCCTGTACAGGGTTTTCTGAGGATGTAAATCTTTACGGGAGCAGAAAGCCTCATCTTTGTCCTGCAGAACAGCTGGTAGTTTTGAACTGCTGACCCTTACGTTGTTGTTGTTGTTAAGTGCCGTC